TTGACAACCCTGGTGGCGCATTGAAATTCATTACACGTATGCTATTACTTCGTTAAACGGTAAAAACTTTATCCCAAATTGTGACACTTTTTCCTGCCTGTTCACATGGACGTCAAATATTTATTATATTCTATAATAAATCCTCCTCGCCTTCCCAACATTGGTGATCGCGAAAGATTGAATTACACGACATTTGAAATATGATTTATAATTAAATAAATCACGAGTAAGAAGATTCCTAAATAATGTGAACACTGTAAACCCGCTCATAAAAATACATTACGTCATCAAAGCGTCACCATACAGTGTGTGTCGTAAGTCTCTAAATATATTTTTAAAACATTAATATTATGACTATGTGCAATTAAATATTTTATATGTGCAGATATAAATCTTAATAACGTGTCTGCAGTTATCACAATAGAACATTATGCCGAATATAACTTGTAGCTCCGACATGCTCTTAAAATTCCGACATAAATATTTCAACATGATGAAAAGACAGACAAATCAGAATTCAGTTATAATACAATTATTCGAATAATTTTATTTAATAATCTACGTATTATGATATAACTGAAAAATCAAACATGCACTAATGCTATGCACATTTTTTTAGCTTCAATGAGAGAATCCACTCGCTTGTCACTTGATAAATTTCAATGCGCGAGGTAAAAGATAAAAATATCGTGAAAAATATCGTTTCTCGTAAATATTCGACGTTCATTTCTCGCATGTAGAAGAATAAATCTTAATCACTATTATTTTCCGGAAATTTTTCATTAATACCCAAAGCCCATATCAAATTTCCTTTTAATTTACTTCGCATTTTGCGAACTGGGAAGAAAGGCAGATTAGATTTCTTATAAGGAGGTACTGGCGAACGCGCCATGGAAACTTCCGGGAATATCTTCGAGGAATATCTTTCCGAGAAAATGAAGTCAAATTAATTTGGCACAATATCAACGTTTATATGAGAAAATAATGTATCTCAAAATAATGTATCCGATGCGCTAAACCACTTTCCATATTCCATATTCCATATTCCATATGTGTTCAGTAAACGAACTGATGCTATTCGATCGGGCGGCAATAAATGAGCATTTGTCGTAGCGAGAATAAAAATTAGCGAGCGACGTTAATGGGTACATGATACATTGCTCGCGACTTAAAAATAGAAAGCATCGTAAGAGCGAGATCTACGACCTTTGGATGTACTGCGTTCATAAGTCGAAGCCGGTAAAATGAACGATATATATGATTGTGAACCTTATCTCGCCTCTCTACTCTCATCCCAAATCTCGAGAGTTGCGTATAATCTTGGACCTTTGTGAAGGAAATTATAAACCGAGATAACCTGCCACGGATTATGAAATTTTTTGTACTTAGTTTCATTTTTATCCTACATCAAAGGGAGAATATAGAGATAACACTGTAATGGATCTCATTGAATTTTTGGCCACGGATTTCATCAAAATTCACTGAAAGTCGCTCTTACTATTCAATTGAAGTTAAACTCCTCCCACCGCGACTTTATCTTATCACGCGAAATCTGCGCGACCAAATGATCACATTATAAAAATATATTTCTCCGTTCGAAACACCATAATATCCGCTCGCTATATTATCGTATCACATTATGACCGATAATAAAAATTGATACGTCCGTAATACCGTATCGAGAAATCTTCATTTTCCTTTTGATTTCACATTTTACACGGAAACGTTAAGTCGTTATGTAAACATCACCTTCGCTCTCGTTTCCTTTTCTGTAATAATTTGCAGGGATTCTAATCAGGATATCGATCGTGTATCTTTTTCTCTAGCGTACATTCGTGAAAGTTTCACATGAAAATTCTCACATTTCCATTATTCGAAAAATTAAAATAGAAGTTCGTGATCGTTAAAGTTGTCAAGTTCACGTGAAACTTTTCACTCTTCACACGTTTACGTTTTTATGAAAAAGTCACATGACTGCTATCTAGAAGTGGGTCCCTTGGCATTTGTAACTTTTACGCGTTTGTGCAGAGAACGAACATCGCGATTCTCTCTCTGTACCAATAGCGTTTTTATTAATGAGATTCTCACTTGAGCTTGTTAATTAATTCAATTGCGCTGGGGGAAACGCTATCCATCGTGCAGGTGCACCACAGACATTGATTAATAATGTTGAGCATCGTTATCCCACATATTCGCATTAGCAGCGTGTGTAACTAGAAACGTACATTCGTGTGTAACTACAAACATACATTCGTGACTTAATGTACACACACCCATTCCCGCGGCGTGAGCAATTCCCCAAAGTTTTACTTCATTCACCGAGTTATTTTGCATCCGCGCGTTTACATGTCACATACAACGACGCGTCTAAATCTTTCGCTACGGCGGCTTGTAATGAATGATGTTTGTACACCGGATAGATTTGTAAACCATTGAATTTGCACATATATGTTGGAAGGTCCTTCGTCTTAGTACGCGGACTATTTTCTATATTTTTTGTACACCATTCCGCAATTCACGCTAAAGCAAATTATCCAGTGTCAATAAGAAAAACCTGAAAAATTCGGCGGAGCGATAATGCGAATAAATAATATTTTATATCGCGAAAATTTAGCATGGCGTTGATAGACAAGTCCGCAAAAAATGATTCTGCTATTCAATTTGCGTTAATCAACATCAAATCGGAAGTTCATCATTAATTGCGAGGTAATATGTCAATTCTCGTTAATGTAATGCGGTTTATATATGAAATAGGGCATCGGCATTATTTATCGACTTTTCATTAATATTTACTCGATAAAAAGTAGGAGAGGTGCAGGTGACACTGTGGAGTTCAACATATAATCAATTCCAGCCACTATGTCTCAATGAGGATAACGAAGTGGGCAGCGCGCTTTTGTTCAGGATAATATATTAAACTTATCGATAATATATTAAACTTATCGAGACAAAAGCGAGAACCTGGTAGCGATAAAGCTGATGATACACATAAAAGCTAAATCGAGCATCAAATGCGCCGAGAGTTGTCCTTTACGACCACTCCACGTACAAATCCCTCGTCAAACCGTTTTGCGGCGAATTAAGTTAGTTGACACAAACTGAACGATAGAAGGGTGAAATTCAGCGAAAGTTGTGAGATGTAATATCCGTTTTCAAACGTAATAATTAATCGACACGTAATAATTAATCGACAGTACAATTAATAAAGTGTAACGTCTACAGAGATAGGCGGAAATTCGAGACTCCTCGTCAAATACTATTCCAAATTGACATTTCTATTAGGTTGTATGAAAAAAACTGCCTAATACATATCGCGAGAGCATGATCCTATCGCGTCGCGACGACAATTTTTATCTCCCCAACGTTCGTGCGAACATAAACAAGACGACATCTGTAAAAGTAAATAAATTAACCGGATAATACGAGAGATACTTATTATTAAAGGAAATGACTGTCTCCTCGAGTAGAAGTACCCTTATTAACAGCTCGATAAATTGGTTCAGCGAACTTGAAACTTTAAGGCAATTAACGGTTATACGTGACGTACGCGCTTGACGACCCTTAGAATATACCTTAAACCCTTAGAACCCTGTGATATATATCCTATAATACTCGTGAAAATATTCGAGGGCAATGACGTAAAAAGCGAAATAGAGAGAGAGAGAGAGAGAACGGAATGTGGCGAGTTGACACACGATAGGGTTATTGATAAGACTCGGCCCGAAAATCACAGATATATGAAAAGGTGGTATCGAATACAAGCATATCACCGGGTGGTGAAAGATAAAGGTAAAATGGCCAAACAGCGTGAAATATAGCAGTGAAAAGTGATTTAGATATCGGATTCGAGTACAGAATGCAAACGGCAAATGCGATATTATATTGCCGAATGCAGATATGTTTCACCAAGCGTGTATGATCGAATTTTTCACATTCAACAAATAGCGGGCCTGCGTGTTTTTATTCACCCATGTTTTAACGTGTACGAATGTATTGCTTGGTGAGGCTTGCGATCGAGACGCTTTTTATTTGGTTTGATTTCATTCTTCTACATTACAAACCGAAGACTGGAGCGGTACGACTCGGGCTTTAATTAAAGTATCAGAATGTCGGTGAAATGCTGAGACAACGTTCTCAACGTTTATCGATGAGATATTAATTCTGCTGAGTGTTGCGTGAAAATAAAATCGACACGAGATAAACGTGTACATGTGCGAAATCCGGAATATCATACCGACACGACAAAGTGCACTCTGTGTTCTCATTGAGAATCGCAAGAATATGTAGCGTGAATAAAATAATAAAACGCGCGAGGTGAGAGATGAAAAGAAAGGGAGTGGGCCGTTTCATTGCTGAAAAGTATTATCGCGCGTTTACAGAACGCGTTTTACTCGCGCTCCCTGAACAAGCACGATACAGCGCGATACGGTATATTTGACTATCTCAGCCCGATGTTGCGCTCGATTGCATACAATAGCGTCAAAGTCGAATCACGACCCACGCGAGATTTTCCTGTCCGGCATACACGAACTGTATTTAAACTGTGTTTAAACTCAACACCGCAGTTTCCACCACAACGCGTCACCATTAAAAAGAATCCATGGAAGCAAGCGTTCGTTGGTTTCTATTTTCTCGGCGTATTTCAGGATTAGCTGTAAAGCCAGTCGCGTCGACGGAGAAACGATTGTTTGTTGCCTCATATGGGAGAAATCGACAGGAAGGGATTGTTCAAAATTGATTCGCAACCGCTATGTAACGCGAGAGAATCGAGTTCTGCGTGTTTTGGAGGAGATTTTGGAGAACAAAAGAGAAAAGCAATCGCAAATCCGAATCTTGACTCGCGTGAGTTATTCGTCGGTATGTGCGCTCTGCAAAAAAATAGAACGCAATAAACGTATGGAATAAGTTGAAAGGGTCGTCGTCAAATTTCCCGGAAGTCCGCGAATCATAGTACAATATAAGCACGCACGAGCGGGGAAATTTCCTCGTAAAAAACTGACCTGTCAAACGATATTACGACGAGGGTAAAAACGCTGGAGGCGACGGTCACGTGTGCCACGAAGTTGTTGATAGTGCAATACACCACTCCGAATGGCCAGTCGGAGTTAACGAGAAAGATGAAGTTGAAGCCGCAGTTGAGCGATGACATCATAAGATCCGCCAAGGAGAGATTCACCAAGAAGTAATTAGTGACGGTGCGCATTCGCCGGTGAGCTGCAACGAGAAACAGAGGTGAACAAAATAAGTAAAACAAGGATAAATAATGAAGCTATAATGATGAAGTATTGTGAGTGCACGGGCGAGAGAAAGAAATAAATAGGTAGAGAGGTAGAAATAGAAACAGAGAGAGAGAGAGAGAGAGAGAGAGAGAGAGAGAGAAGGGAAAAGGAAGGAAAAAGAGAAAACTACAACTAACTATATTCGAAGTGAATATTCCTGAATACGTGAAGACGCCTTAACGCATCTCTGCCCTAGTAGCTTTCGCGTGGCAAATTATAAAACTTTCCGCGATATCGTTACGGTGACTTTTGCGCCGTTTGAATGGCCGCGACTAAGTTTCTGCATGCATTTCGCGTGACGCCGATATTAAAATTCCTGGCGAAATAGCGCCCATTACGAACGATTCGTTCGTCTAAAGAGATCGTGGAAAATAATACATCTGCACTTGATACTCGTCGCGCAGCTTCACACTATCTCCGATTCCGAGGATTCCGAGGAAGAGAGTAAAATCTCAGCGATGCGCTTATCAATTAGCTGAATCCTTCTTTACTGACAAAGCTGCCGATAAAATACGTTGCAATGGATGCTGTTCATTCGAGAAGACTGTTCGCGCAGCACGAGCATTCGCTCGTCGTTCGATCTCCGAACAAACAAGTTTGTTTCCGCGCATCTATTTCGCTGAGGTACTCACAGGTAATAATTATTCCCCGTTTGAGAGAGTACACGAAGCAAGATAGAACCAAAAGCCGATGTTGGAGCGAATATTCTAGTAGTGTGGGGAGAATAATTATGTTTAACAGTGTTAACGCACGCATCAAGTTCTCCAGACTCTTGTAACGCCATGGTGAATCTACCTTCCGCCTTATTCTAATTATTTGATTATACGTGTTTTTATTCACTTTAAAGTTACGAAAAATTATTCCTTTGACGTAAGCTCCGTTTATCATTTCGTCTTTGACGACGCATTATTACTGTTAAATCAAAATCTGTCATGTGCGATCCCGTCTTTCACGTTCACGCTCTATATCTTACGAGCTACCGCGATTATACTTTTAATACACGTGGCGACACGTATGTGCCGGGGAATATTACGTGCGGAAATTCTAATATCATGTTGCATCGCTTCAGTGGAATGTAAATAGTCCTTTGTGGCTGTAGGAAAATCGTTATTGCGCTTTATCTTAACTGCCAACAATATCCCGTTGTACAAATATTGATAAGTAAGCGAAACACGCTGGCGTATACACGCACACATAAGTCATTCTACACCCATTAAGAGAGGAACTCTAACTCTTCACGTTATCTCTTTTCCGTCTTTGAAAGTAACACGATGCTCTCAGCGATGACGTGTTAAAGCATTAACGCATTAAAAGCTTCGTTTCAAGCTAAGTTTGCAAAGTTAAAGGAAAATCCGTGTCCTAAGAAATAGTACTGCGTCACGCAGCGACGAAAAATAGCATTCGCGCGAGATTAAAACAATGCTAATGAGAGAGGCAAGTGCGTTTGTACTAAACTTTGGAAAAGGTGAAAAAGTGAAGAGATTTCTTAAACGGTTCATTAAATCAAATCATATAAATTAACTAATGAGTTTAAAGTATATTCTTCTTTATAACATCAAAGAGCCTTAAACACATTCAAGAAATTTTTAAAGATCTTTGAAATGCGTAACTCGTGTGAAACAGCACGTTAATACGCCAAGCCGTTTAAACTACTAGGTCTGTACGAAAGTTAGATCGCGGAATTTAACTTCTGGAGAAGACCAACATTATTTCTGTACGTGCTTTTCAACACTAAAAGCATACATGCGTAAAACTGTTTCAAACTTAATTTACGGCATGGAAATCAGAGCAGGTTTACAATTCTGATCTAAACGTCCTCTCATTCTGCGTACAAGCCAGATAAATATAATAAAATCGCATAGTGCATTTATTTACTTTACTTGCAAAGTCAGAAAATATTTTTCTTCAGATGTTCTTTTTGCAAACATCATTGTGCAACAGTAAGCATAATACTGCTGCAGGAAACGTGCGCTTTTTTAATTTTAAATGAAAACCCGCGCGTATCTCTCCACAACACGTCTTGTTGACTCAGAGATTACGCTCGTTAAAATAAGGCCTTGAAATAAAGGATAAAATAGATTAAGGGATTAAAGCGATTACAGAAGGATCTCCAAGAACATAAATACATATAATTATTCATAAATTTTATCTCTATATAGGCATGTATAATCATACGCAACCGTATATGTCCATACACGAAGAAAAATAATTTTGCTCTTTTAGTAAAATCGTCGTTGCTACTGCATATTCGTAGTAACATCAAAAAAATTTAGTTGACGTAACTAATTTTACAAATTATTTGTTGTTAGAGCAAAAGTAGTTTCGTTGCCAGGATAAAAAAAATTTGTTGAATGTATTTGTCCTAAGAATCACGTTAATTTGCTATTAATACAAAATAATGTATTCTTAACAAATTTATTTGCTATCAGAGCAAAACTGCAACTGCTTATATAAATCCATCATGGTTCTTGCAAAATAATTTGTAGATTCAGCAAATTATATCCAACAAATAATGATTAATACTTTTAGTAAATCTTTTTGCTGTTCATATAATAACGAAAAAATTTTGCTAGATTAGTCGAAAATTTGCTAGGCCAGCAAATTATTTTCTCCATATACACGGTATGAAACGCTATTGTACTGTACAGTTATGCGTAACTGTTTAGATTTACAGCAGCCCGTGGTGTCAACATTTAATCGAATGAAACACGGAGAAAAATAATTTGCTAGTCCAGCAAATTTTCTGCTGGTAGCAAAATCTTTTCGTTATTATATGAACAGCAAAAAGATTTGATACAGTACTAATCACTATTTGCTGGATATAATTTGTTGAATCTACAAATTATTTTGCTATAAGAACCATGATGGATTTATATAAGTAGTTGCAGTTTTGCTCCGACAGCAAATAAAGGACTCCGTACAAAATCTATGGAAAATGGTTTTCGGTCAAATTGGCTGAAATTTCACTGTTAAACTTAAAATTTCACTTTCAAATGTTATAGTTTTCGCCATGCTGATAAAAAGTTATCATTGCACCAAGTCCCAAAAGTCAATATTTCCCAAGATATAAAGGGTCAAAGTAGTGAATATGGTCATCCGCAGTAGTAAGATGTACTAGTATGTTATAAATATAAGTGATATATTGATATTTATTCACGAAATAAATAAAAATCGATTTTTACATATATATATATAATAAATATTTAGTTCCGCAATATATATGTATATGTATATACAGGGTGGGGCAAAAGTATCGGACCGGTGAAATATCTCGAAAAATATAAGTTTTAGAAAAAACTGTTTCAGATCTTAAAAAGATCTATTGTATTTACTGATTTTAGCAGATTGGTCTTGGGTGGCGTTGCCAAGGTAAAAAATCAGTTGTTTTCACGACTACTCATAATCAGTTTTGTTTTGAGTAGCTGTGAAAACAATTGATTGTGAGTAGCCGTGAAAACAACTGATTTTGAATAGCTATGAAAACAACTGATTGTGAGTAGCTGTGAAAACAACTGATTGTGAGTAGCCGTGAAAACAACTGATTGCGAGTAGCCGTGAAAACAACTAATTTTTGACCTTGGCAACGCCACCCAAGATCAATCTGCTAAAATCAGTAAATACAATAGATCTTTTAAGATCTGAAACAGTTTTTTCTAAAACTTATATTTTTCGAGATATTTCACCGGTCCGATACTTTTGCCCCACCCTGTATATACATATACATATATATTGCGGAACTAAATATTTATTACATATATATATGTAAAAATCGATTTTTATTTATTTCGTGAATAAATATCAATGTATCACTTATACTTATAACATACGTCTTACTACTGCGGATGACCATATTTCACTACTTTGACCCTTTATATCTTGGGAAATATTGATTTTTGGGACTTGGTGCAATGATAACTTTTTATCAGCATGACGAAAACTATAACATAGTGAAATTTCAGCCAATTTGACCGAAAACCATTTTCCATAGGTTTTGTGCGGGATCCTTTGGAAGGATATATTATTTTACATTAGTAGCAAACTAACGTGATTCTTAGGACAAATATTCAACAAATTTTTTCTATCCTGGCAACGAAACTACTTCTGCTCTGATAATGAATAATTTGTAAAATTAGTTACGTCAACTAAATTTTCTTGATGTTACTACGAATATGCAGTAGCAACGGCGATTTTGCTAAAAGAACAAAATTATTCTTCTCTGTGAACTGTTTTCTCTTTTTTCCATACAAGATTTTTTCCGCGTGAACATATATAATTGCATATGATTATACAAGGTCCTATTTTAAAGAAACCAAATGTCTGGAAAACTGATTCATATACTGAAGATGTTCTCGAATGAGCGAATTCATGATATAAATCTTCTGCTGCAAATACGCAGTGAACCAAGGCATATGATATGCCATAAAATATCTTTGCCGTACCCAGAAGCCAAATCATATTTTCAAGATATAATTTGTCTCCTCGTGCGAACTCGTGCGATATTTCCTGACTTCCGATCAGATAACAATAAGCGGAAACCGATTAATGGACCCATTTGTGCGCGAACTAGCTGACATTTATCACTTGTCGTTGCTCGTTGCGTGACATCTATTGTAAGCGAATTAATCTTCCGATAATCGTAGTCATGAACGCGATCGCGCAGGCGCGCGCGCGCTAAACATTTAATTTTTCTATGACGTGTAATAGATAAAACAGCGAATTTTGTGTAAAATAAAGGTACACAACGATGCGAATTGCGTTAATTATTAATAACACGCTCAATCTGCTCATTGACGTAGCAATATTAGTTGTCGTGAAGATTCGAATTGTTTGCCTTGTCTTCGTCAACCGAAACTAGCGCGAAACGTTATATCTCTAATCCTAATTACTGAGCGTTAGACTAAGACGCATTCATCCATCGCATCCACATTCGCTGCC